CGATAGAATAGAAGAGCGAGCGGGCGCCGGGAGGGGTATTTAGATTCGGCTCCTCTCGCGAGATTCCTTGGCTCTCGAAGCGCGTGCGCGAGTCTTCGTTTCCCCGCCCTCCCGAAACGGTTGCGCGGGTGTGGAGAGGCTTGCTGCGGGCCGGATCGAGCATGAGTTAAAATGCCCGGGATCGAGCCTGGGTCATAACACCAAGGCTATAAAAGAGAGCGACGGCGCACGCGCTTCTCTTGTGCTTTCCGGGCAGGTGAGGGATGCGGTCGCTCTTCGCCGTCGAGGTGACGGACGGTTTTAGCTCTATCTTGTAACGGGCGGTGTTGACTTTTCTTATTATTTGTGAGCGGGTGGGGTTTCAGAGCGCTTTGGTCGTGTGACAAATGTCTTCGCCTAAAGCCTTTGTTTGCTGCCTCTTTAAATCCGTGTTTCCTGCAATTCGCGGGAGCGTTCAGACGTAGCCTGTCTTAATAAAGGCCCTTTTAGAATTAACGGGCTCGTCCGTTCCGCGTCGTGACTAATTAATTGTACCGCTGTTGGTGGTTGCATTTTTTTGTTTTTTTCCAAAAGCAGCTTTGCAATACTTAAAAAAAAAAAAATTGCATGATAATAACACTTCCAGTAAATGACATAGGTGGGAAGTGCAATTAAAACTGCCTTTAGCGTGTGTGGGCTATGTTATCCCTCACCTGCAGAAAGAGCAAGCTGTGTTTCTTGGTACTTTGAAAAAGAACACTCCATTTTAATTTTACGTAATAGGTCTATGAAATGCGGAGTGAATGGCAAGCCTGCACCATGATCAACAGCTGTGGTTGCTGATGGATGTTACTGTGTTGAGTACCCTGAAGGCTGAATGAAAAGTAATGCCTCCTGTATTCCAAGTCACCAACAGCTGGCAGTACTGATGCCTTAGAAGCTCTGATGTGTTCTTTAGCATCTGTCCTTTCGCCTCAGTTGGTGGGAAGTTGCTGTGAGAAAAGGTGGTGTGGCTGTTGTTTGTGAAATGGAAGCCTTCACTGAGTACTCATCAGTGCGCTTTAAGCAACGGGCCGTGATTGAATTTTTGACTGCTGAAGGAGTTCCTCCAATTGAAATTCACCGCCAAATGCAGGTTGTTTATGGTGATGACTGTGTTGATGTGAGTACTGTGCGTCGCTGGGCCAAAAAATGTAAAGATGGTAAACCAGGAAGAGCTGATTTATGTGATCAAGAACGCAGTGGAAGACCTGTGACAGCAACTGACCAGTTTCATGTGAAAAAAGTTGATGAACTGATTAAGGACAATCAGCAGATCACTCAAAGGGAAATTGCTGTCAAGCTTGGCATTTCACAGGAACGTGTGGGTCATATTATTGATGTTCTTCAGTATCGGAAGGTTTGTGCAAGATGGGTTCCTCGCATGCTGACGGCAGAGATGTATGCAACATATACAGATGGCAAGTGCAGTTAAAATTTATGGGCTATATTACCCCTTATCCCTATAAAGAACTGCTTTTCTTGGTAACTTGAAAAGGAGCACTCCTTTAATTTTAAATAACAGACTGATCTATGAAATACAGAGTAAGTGGCAAGCCTACATCATGATTAATAGTTGTGGTTGCTGTGGATAATGAGCTGAAGGATACCACCATGTTTGGTATTATATCAAATTCACTCCATGTCCCAGTTGCACCACTTCACTGGTGGTTGGCTAGCAGGTGTTGGACACTGTAGGGTTTCTTCTGCTTATGCAGAAGTTTCCATTGTAGGGTTTTCTCTGCCTATATCTTGATTTGTTCAGGAGATAACCTTTGGTTTGAAGTTCTCCTGAGGCCGGACTTGGGATTTTGGTAGTTTCTTGTGTTAGAAACTTTTCAGCTGCTGAAAGAGGTTACTTTGCATTGTGATGCTGTGAGTTCTGGGGATTTAGGGCACTGTCTGAAAATAGTCTTTGGCTTCCTTCATGGCCTTGGATGAGATAACTGTGCCCATAGCAAGAGGGAGCATTAAGCTTATTGCCTTAAGTATGGTCCTTAGGTGATAAAACCCAGGCTCCTATATCTCCTGTGAAAGCACAACATGGTTGAAATAAGGTTCAAAATTAAAATTCAAAATACTAACACCTGTTTTTTCTCAACAGATTCTGTAGAGAAAGGTACATTTTGAAGACTTATATGCTGCAAGACTGTAACGTTCCACATGTAACATCCTGCACTCTGTGGGAAGGTGTGTTCTCTCCCCACAGCTGTTGAAGACTCAGCATTTAGATGTTCCAAGCTATATATTGATCAATTGGCAGAGGAATATGGATGCTTTTTAAATTAACCATAACCTTTCAACGAGAAGAATGCAAATGTAGTTGTGAGGGGAGTAAAATCTGTAAAGTTTTAAGTTGTGAAGTCTAAAATAAACATTTTTGTGATGTGTATATCTGTTTTGTTGGTGAATTATTCATTTACCTAGTTCCTGAGCTTACGTGATATCCTAATTCATATCAAGCAGCTGTCATAACCAACTTCTGTAAACAAGGTTAAAAACTGTAGCATCAGTAACAAACACAACCTGATCCAAAACTCCCATTTCCGTTCATTTCCAATTACAAGGGTGGATAGGCCAGACTATTTCTGCTGTGAGGTTTTCTGGAAGAAAAGTTTTGATGTGACTGGGAAGCTTCCTGGAGGAAGGCAGTAGCAGAAGACATATGCTCTCTCCCCCCCAAAATTGGCACAAATGTGTGTTTGCGTGTGGAGTCACCGGCACCCTGAAGGACACCTGTGTGGCCAGCTCGATAGAAGCAGCACCTGCCCAATCTTAGTTGAGCTTGCAAAGTTAATCAGGATGGATCCTGGTTAGACCTTGGATGGGAGACCTCCCAAAAACCCCATGGTGGAAGGCCAGCCTGGCAAGTCAGACCCTGGGAAAAGGTCAGAGCGAGTCAGGTCTCTGTATCAGCAAGAAAAGCGAACATGGAAGTGTCTTGGGTCTGTCAGGAGTTGACCCTCTGAAATGAAAAACTGCTTTATCTCCTGCTACCGGTTGGACCAAGTCCTTCCAGGTGTGTTGGGTAGGGGCGCCAGATTGGGGGAGTCTGCGCTTTGTGTGTCAGACGGGGCTCCTCTTCGTTGTTGCGCCGTTGTGCCGCCTCTACCTTGAGAACCGAGGGGCACTTGCGGAAGGGACCCGGAAGCTGCTCCCTCGAGCATTGGCTCGCGCCTCTCCACGTTTTCGTCCGTCTATGCTTGCTTGCGCCACGGCGACGCGCCGGAAGTAAACCGTCCTTTCCCGGAAGCACGTGTGGATTGTCCGGGCGGCCAAAGAGAGGGGGCTGGAACCGGGGAAGGAGCCGAGCCGAGGACCGAAGATGGCGGCGTCGAGCTCTTCGGGCAGCTTGAAAAGCAAGTGAGGAAGGGGAGCCGCCATGGGGGGGAGGGGGTGCCACGGGAGCCGCGACTGTTGCCGATGGGTGGGAGAGGAAAGTGTGCGCCGTCGCCATAGCGACCGCGTTGCGGTTTGGGGGCCGTTGGCGGGCTGCGCGCTCTCGCCTTGGGGGCACGTTGTGCTGAGTTGGGGCGTGTTTCTGAGCATACGCAGAGGGCTGTTCCCTCCGGAGCCGGCTTGCGAGAGAGCCAGCGAAGACACGGAGCTCCCCAGGTCGAAGGAGTGGCGGAGCCAGGACTAAGTGACGGCGCCTGGCCCGCCTTGGCTGACCTCAGGCGGCTAAGCAGAGTCAGGCCAGCTTAGTGCTTGGATGGGAGATCTCTGGGCGATCCCATGGCCGCAGGGTAGAGCAGGAGGAAGGCAGAGCGTCCTGGAAGAAGTCGGGGCAAACCTCTTTAATATGTGGATCTTTTTTCCTGGTTAAGGATCTTCCAATATTCCTTGAGGATTGCCACTTCTCTTTCTCTCATGCACACCAGCATAAATCACCGCACACCACCACTCCATGGCAGTGATACATTTACGTTCTTGTTGCCATTGGCAGCAGGAACTTAACACATTTCAGCCGTTTTGCTGGTAGAAAAAGGGAAGCCATGAACTTCAAAAATAGCAGGGATTTTCCACCCTCTTGGCTTCACTGCTTCACCATAACGCAGCTGAATGTTGCTGCAATCTTGTGATTTTCAGCCATTTCTCAGAAACGGATGGCAAAGCCAGAGGCCATCCCACGTGTCCCACCGATCAGCTAAGGTCACCCGTGGGGAAGGGGGGTGCAGCATCCAGGGTGGCTTGCCTTGACACTGTATGTGGGTGGTACCACTCTTTGCGTTTAAGCTTTGCAGATCAGGTAGCTCGGGTTAAAGGAATAGACCTTCCACGACTGCGTTACTGGGTTTCTGCTTCTGTATAACTGTGCTCCAGTTGTTAACATGATTGATCTACAGTAAATCTGCTCACTTTCTCTAATTGCTGGTGTGTCTCTGGTGCCCTTTCAGTTATGCCGTGTTCAGGAGAATTGAGTCTTTCTACACAGGTGGACCGATTCAGGTAACAGTCAACTCCAATTTACCTTTAGTACTGTTTGTATTTATTACATATGGCCACAATTTGCTGAAAGACCTACTATGCTCTTTGTTTCTGGCTTAGATTACCCAAGCTGGGGATTATATGTTTTGTGCTTGTGGAAGCAAGGTCAATATAGTGGACATTGCAACAGGAGATGTCATACACAGTATTGAACAGGTAATAAGGCATACCTTCTAAAAAAAATCTATCCAGTGAATATGTGTATTGCATAGATACTAAAAATGCAGTTGAACCTCCAATTCAAATCTTTCTTTTGTTATGAATTCAGGAGGTCACTTCATGGAAGTATCTTTTTTTTAAAGCTTCACCTTTCTATTTACATTATGGAAATAATACAGTATTGGAAGTCATAATTACTGAGTATATGAATATGAGTTATATTACTAAGGTGGAATTAAAACTGTTGAGCAGTCCAGTTAAACAAATGCAATACTGGAGTGGGATCATCAAAAAGGGGAAAAGGAGATGGTGTTGAGGAATAATGGCTTAAGAAGCATACAGAATAGAGTAATCTATGCTATATAATTATTGAAAGTAATTGCATTTATATGTTCTGCTAGAAAAGGCACTCACTGTAGCTAGCAGCCAAATATAAGTATAAAACAAGCCAAATAAAATAATAATTTGTAATGATAAATTGTCAGTTATTATTTATTTATCAATTATTATTAATATTACAATATCGCGATTATGATCATAATATTTGAAAACCCAGTTACTATTTAATAAAAACAGTGGTTAAAACAAGTCATCTGATGGTTGTTCTTCTTCTGTTTGTTACAGGATGATGAAACAGAGATTACAGTATTTGCCCTCAGCAATGATGATGAAGTAGGTGATCACAGCATTGTAGGGGATCCTTCTAGCACCAGGGCAAGAAGCTTGTCCAGTATTACTAATGGGAACTGTGCAAAGCCGGCTTGCCTCACAAGCGATATTCCTACAACAGCACCGGGACCATTTTACATTCTATATATGCCAGGGGATAGCAGCTTGCATGCTTCCTTCCTCTGATGTACTTGCCTCTCTTCCCATGTTTAAAAATATAAAATCTAGCTGTCATTTGAAAACATTTCTATATTTAGACAACTGCTTTAGTTTGTAGCTAGGAAAAAAATCAAGAGAAATTAAGCAGTACTTGTATTAACAAAGCTGGAACTAATTTCAAAATTCGTTTGAGAGATGAAAGTGTATTTTTCTGGTTTCTTTTTCCTCATCTTGCATTAGATCTTAGTAACAGGAAGCCAAGCGCTACTGCTGAAGCAATGGGACTGGCTAGGAAATAAGTGCACGCGCACATGGAAGGCTGTGCATCGAGCCCCTGTGGCCAGCATGACCTTTGACCCGTCTTCCACTTTATTAGCCACAGGTATGGCCTGACCGCTGGGCAAGGAATCTCTCAGATGGCTGGAATCAGAGCAAGCCCCTTGCCTTTCTGGCAGGGATACTCTCTGGGGGAATAAAGAAGCATGGCCCCTGAGTGTTTGCTTTCTTTGCCGCTAAAACTCACGTGCCGGCTCGGGCCATTCAGTGCTTGTCTGACTTCTGCTACTTCTCCTTTCCTTTCTCCTTCCAGGTGGCTGTGATAGCACCATCAAGATCTGGGACATTTTCCGGCAGTACTGCACACACAACCTGAAAGGCTCTTCCGGGGTTGTCCAGTAAGGAAGCAGCCTTTTAACTCACTCTATGTAATGGGGAAGTTTAGCCTGGGGAACTTGGAACTCTTTACAAATGGGTGGCAAATTCTTTTTTTTTTTCCCTTTTGCGTCATCTGTATTAGTTGCTTGCAGTAAATGTAATACCACCCTCGTGGGCCTGTTCTAATTATTTTACAAATGCATTTGCTTCTGTTTACTGTAGCAGAGCGCACATTTCCATAAACAAATATAGCCTTCAATTGCTTTGATGTTCTGCCTCCAGAAGGGCTGCAACAAGATGAGGAGTCTTGTGGAAGTTGGCAATTATTGAGGAGGCAATATAAGAGGGGCTGGGGCTGGGGTGAGAGCTGCCTCAGCAAGGTGGGCCACTCCCGTTTTCTGTCACTCGCAAACATAGACACCCTTGCTTGCCTTATGTTCATTTTCACAGACGCAAACCTTTCTCCTCCTGCGTCAGAATCATTCCAGGAGTGAGCGTAAAAGCCTTTCTCTCTCTGCCATTCTGGGATGCAGGGTGACGCTGTCATTGCTCTGGGTGCTTTGTAGGGTTACACATGCAGGAAATCAGGTTCCTTCTCTTCTGGGAACTTAACAGGTATGTTTTGAGGAAGCAGAGAAGAAAGCAAAGAGGTAAATTTTGGTTACCTCTAAGTCAGTGTTGTCCAAGCTTGGCCACTTTAAGATGAGTGGGCTTCAACTCCCAGAATTCCCCAGCCAGCATGGCTGGC